AGGCGGAAATTTCAATCGCTTAGTTCTCAGTTCATAGAGGATCAATTTGAATGAAATTTTCAGCAAATTGCCTTTACATTATCTAGTTTTTAACTATTATAGTGAGAACTGCCAACTCGTTATCGATTTAAAGTCAATCGGATATTAACTTTAGCTTCTAGAGCCTCCACAAGATTTTTCAAAGTGATCAAGGGCCATAACTCTGGCAGTAATTATTGGAAATCCCTGAAAATCAATAGGCTTCTTCGCCGCATGACCTTAAACACTGTGTATAAATTTATATTAACTTTAGCCTCTAGCTTGTGGACGCCGGACCGATGTACGGACCAATGGACGGGAGTGACAACAATGTGGGCGTATCAAAAGCAATTTTTCGAACAATCCAGGGCCATAATTCAGGAATTCACGATCTGATATGCGCGAAGATATATTTCAAGTTTCATCAAAATCGTGACATCTAGAGAGTCCACAACCTTGATATACCATATTTTTACACCATTAGCATACGAGGTGTGGCCATTTTGTGTGGCAGTTTTGATCCGATTTTCACGAAATTCGACCTCAACCATCATTAGGGTGTAACGGTGATATATTCATATGGTTTTTTAAATTGGATAAAAATTGTTACCTCTAGAGGGACCACAATCATACAATCAAGGGCCATAATTCAGGAAGTTACGATCTGATATGCCAAATATCGAAAGGAACCAAGATCTTTGTGATATAAGCATAAATTTAAGGTTGCATCAAAATCGGAAAAAAATTGTGGCCTCTAGAGGGTCTACAACCTTGATATACCACATATTAACACCATTTGCGTTATACGAGGGGCGACCATTTACATGTAGTTTGTCAGTTTTGGTCCGATTTTCACAAAATTCAAACTCAACCATCATTTTCACAAAATTGGAACTCAACCGTCTTTAAGGTGTAACCGTGATATATTCAAACGTTTTTTTAAATCAGTATAAAATTGTGACCTCCATAGAATCAGGAGCCATAATTTAGGATGTTACGGTCCGATATTCGCGAATATCAAAAGGAAACAAGATCTTTGTGTTATAAACTTACATTTCAAATTTCAACAAAATTGGATAAAAATTGTGACCTCTATAGGGTCCACATGCTAAAAACACGATTTTTCGTATAATCAGGGGCCATAATCCATGAAGTTACCGTCCGATACAATGTACATGCCAATATCAAAAGGAACCAAGATCTTAGGGAGATAAACCTATATTTCAAGTTACGTTGAAATCGGATAAAAATTGTGACCTGTAGAGTGTCCACAAACAATTGTGGACAGACGGACAGGGGCGACGACAATATACGTCACTGAAACTTTAGCTCTGGGGTGCCACGTAGGCTTGTGAGGGCCCTGCTAGTACATGTAGCTGGCTTTCGTTCCCATACTTCATTCAATAATTATAGACTGTGTGTCTCCTATTAATTCTGTCTGTACAGATAGTTTGCCAGGCAACAAAACATAGGACCACAGCAGCTAAATCGTTCGAGCAGTCGACAAGGGTTGTCGCATATTTATTCTTTTGTATGTAATTAGGGGCATTTAATAGACAATTTCATACAGATGACATTATAATTTTCGTCGTTTGGGGGTTCAAAAGGCTCTAAAAACTAAAACAAGGGCCACAACTCTGGAAGTAATCTACAGACATTTTTGAAATTCAACAGGCTTTTTCGTTTTACTAATTCAAATAATGCATATAAATTTCATACAGATCGGATGATAACTTTTGTCGTTCGAACGTTCACAAGGTTCAACAAAGTAAAACAAGGGCAATAACTCTAGAAGTAATTGACGTAAATGCTGAAATTCAATAGGCTTCTTCATTTCACTAATTTAAATGATGCATATGAATTTCATACAGATTGGGTGATAACTTTTGTCGTTCCAGCATTCACAAGATTCAACAAAGTGAAACAAGGGCCATAACTCTAGATGTAATTAAGGGAAATTTGCTGAAACTCAATAGGTTTGTTCATTTTACTAATTTAAATGATACATATAAATTTCATACAGTTCGGATAACAATGGCCATAACTCACGGCATAATTAACAGAAATTGCTGAAATTCAATAGGATTCTTCGTTTCTCTAATTTAAATGATGCATATAAATTTCATACAGATCGGATGATAACTGTTGTCATTAGAGCGTTCACAAAATTCAACAAAGTGAAACAAGGGCCATAACTCACAGAGTAACTAACGGAAATTGCTGAAATTCAATAGGCTTCTTTGTTTTACTAATTTAAATGATGCATATAAATTTCATACAGATCGGATGATAACTGTTGTCATTAGAGCGTTCACAAGATTCAACAACTCTAGATGTAACTAACGGAAATTGCTGAAATTCAATAGGATTCTTTGTTTTACTAATTCAAAGATACATTCCCGATACATATACATATGGTCTAAAACCATATTCAAACTAATTAATTGATCATAATTTTGCTTCAAATCCTTCTCAAAATATTGCAATTGCCAAGGAATACCCTTACTATAAAAAAATCGATCAATAGGAGGTCATGTTTGTGCCACATGACTTACCTCTCTCGGTACCTAGCAACGGGGGCAAAGTCAGAAGAGGATTCATTGCATACACAAGACGATGTTGTCTTTAATCGCTGGCTATTTATTACAAATATCGAAGCCTTATTAAATTCTCAGATTATCCACTGCCCAAGTTTTTTTCCATGCTTTTTAACTCAGAAACTGTTGTACGTCTAACTCTTCATGAAGTTTATCAACATGTACATCAAGCACTCAATCTCCACGTGCGACCTTTGAGGTCAAGCGTGGAGACACTCTTAATCATCGGGCTGTCGATTAGGGAAACCCTTACAGTTTTGTCCTGTATGCGCTCCATGAGTGTTTTTCAGGGCATCCAGTATTTTTCTAGTAAGATTGGATATTTCTACTTTCCATATATACCAAAATTGATATATTCAAACGGTTGATTTTTTTTCTCTTCATTACAATATTGTCACTCCCTTTACAGTATTATTTAGTTTTGACCATATCTATTTTAGTGAGAAAACTAAATCTATGTTTCAGGTTAAACATTTGTTAGACCTTTAGCCTCAAATCCTATCTGAAAAAAAGTTGAACTTATATAGGCCCTAGTCTGTAGTTAAATCCTATTCAGTTTATCAAATAGATTCTTTAAACAAAATACTGTTATCAATTTATCAATGATTATTGACATTTCCATAAAGGGAGATAACTCCTTCTACAAATTAAATGGATTTCCGAAATTCTGTATGTTCCCCTGTCTTTTATGGTTTCTGCATTTTGCTTTAAATCAAAATTTAACCAATAGCATATTCTTTGCATAGGATGAAAGCATTGGGGTTTTTCACCAATATTTAATTTTATGTCAACTTCACAATTGTTAGTATAAATATAGCATTTACTTGACAATTGTCACAATTTTCATCTGGCCCTAAATCGAGTTAGTGCAAACTTTTTGCTTGGAACTATCTGGATTTGTGTTCCTGGTATTAGCTTTCCAAAAATGTGCTGCAGGCCTAAAGTTAACAAAGAGTGAAAATTCAGCCAATAACAGAATCCCATGAAACATGAAATTGATCTGTAGCTCTGTTATATACAGCACAGCACTGTACCAATTTTAAATCAAATATCTCAAAGTTCAAATAATTGCAGAAAAAAAGGATTTCAGTGATAACAATGGTGATAATTCAGTTAAAAATTAACGGAATTGCACTCAACATGAACTTGATCTGTCAATCAAATATCTCAATGACAGACAGGCAGATTAGTATAGCTGACTTATGCTTAATCCTTTGATAATATGGGCCTAAAGAGCCTGACCCACCACAACATGAAATAAAATCAGACCAACCCAATTTTGACATAATCAAACAGGTTTAGCGCCTTTAAAAATATTTTCAAACTCTTGTTTTCAGTGGTAATCACTTTTAATTTACTGACATTTTGTCAATTTTTATACAGGAGTTTGGCCATTTATCAGTAAAATTTACTTGCAAACATGATTTGTGGTCCAGGGTGGACTGAAAATGAGCCTGTAAAAACTGTAGAATGCCACACGCTAAATTTGAACACAAAAGCTTACCAAAGAGCAGCTTCGGTTGGATTTTAGGACATTATTATTATTATTAAAAGCTAGAAACATCAGGATATACTCTAGAAAGCACCAATTACAATCAGTTTTTCATAAATATTCTCGGCCCCAGGGAGAGAGACACTCCTCCACCCCCAACCCCCCCTTTGAGTCATGCAGTAGTCCGCCCATGGTTGGCCCACTGGCTATCATTCAGAGTGGGGAGCAAAGGAACGGAAACCACCTGGGTGCCAAATAGTCTCTTTGGACTTCAAACCCCAGGTTAAAAATAGTGTTTTCTTAATAATATAATGTATTGGTTATTAATTTATAAGAATTGACATGTGGAGCCTAAACACTAAAATTATTTTGGCAGCTACAATATGCAGGGTGGTGTTAAATATTCAAAACCATGTTTGTCGTGGATTGTATCTGAAAGAATAACAAATGGGTTGTATGAGGAGTGTTAATTCTAAATATATCTTCCAATCAGGGTGAAAATTTCAATATCACAAGTAATAATACGCCCTCAATTTTATAATCAACAGATCTCTCGTTATAATTGCACACATGCGCTCGACGAGACAACACTCATCGCAAGAACACAGTTTAATTGCGCATGAGATAAAATATAAATTGGACGGTGTTATGTAATGTGCTTTAATACTTAAATAGCAGATGGCATGCAGACTCGCTAATTAACCTGTGTCCAACAAACAATAGAAACTGAGATCTTATAAGTTAGTTATAATACTGATTAAAGTTTGACAAGTGCTTGTTCATGCATCAAGATTTAAGTACAACAATAGCCTCATGTCATTAAAATACTGGACGTCATCAGACTATCACCTATTATATTACTTGACATAAGGATGATAAATATAGTATCATACCCATTTTGAATTATGCTGGCTTAAGGGAAGCTAAAATCCACTTCTATAGAAGTTGAACGGTGTTTCCCCAATAACATGTTTAGAAATCCGCCATTTTGAATTCGGGAATTCTGGGTACGAGCGCAAAATGGCGAGGAGTTGAAAGAGGCCGTCAAACAAGGTAGGACTTTTCAGAATTAACAAATATTCTACACATATATTTAAATAGTCATTCACATAAACCACAGTGACAGAGTACGATTATGAATTAAAATGATGAAATTTTATATGTTGAATAGTCCGTTACTATAATGATAGATCACATCAAAATTGACCGTATTGTCCTGTCAGAATTATAGTTTTAAAATTTAATTCAGAACTCAATTTGCCTCAACAGAGTACCGTAATTATGATGATATTAGTACAAACGTCATCGCATAATGATGGAAGCCATTTTGTTTGATAGAGAAAAGAATCCGTTCATATATGAAATGAATTTCGTCAAGTAAACTTTAGATTCCATTCGGAGCTAAATGCTTAGTTTTCTGCAAACTTCATTCATGCGGTCCATCGAAGCTTTTCTACTTATTGCAGCAGCAGAATTCGGTAAACAATTTTCATTTTGTATTAATGTTATTTTATTTAGCCCTAGGGACAATTAATTTGTTATGATTGATATTTTTTTCATTATCCAACCTGAGATTTACCAGTTTTTAGTTAGATCATTTATCGTTTAAGATAGTGTATAAATTACCCATGTGTTTTAGTATCGATAACGTTGCGACCGCCTGATGGTAGACTATGTACTTATTTAGTATAGGGGCCTACGTACAATGGCTATCGCCGGAGCTTTACGGCTTCGCTACGGTCAATCGCCTACTTCGAGTAGACATTGCCCCCCCCCCCCCGTTCCCAATTTAATCTCGATAAAGCGAGGAAATATATATTAAACGATAGCACACTGGCGTTTCTCTAACAATTTGTTGAACTGGAGTAACAAAATCTGTTTTAAAATAATTTCGCGGGCTTAATTTGCACGTAGGTTTTTTTTTTATTGGAATTAATAATTTGTCTCCGAGGCATGCCTATTTGCACTGTATCATTTTAAAGGTTGCCAATTATAATTAAGAATGTTTTGGGTTATTTTTTATTATTTTTACTACAAATTTAGTAATTTATCAATGCATGTGGCAATGTTTAGCCCACGGCTTCCAAGGACAAACAGCAGTTAATGTTATTACATTATAAGACTAACTACGATCATGAGTGTGGTGCAATGTCTCTAGATATATCACTGAACTTAATTCATATTTGCCCTCTGGTCAACAGGCATGGTTAACTGGTGGAGCACTCGATAGTAGGTATTTCTTGATTAGGTGGCACTACTATTTGTGTGTTTGGGCAATGCACATACAATCGTTTGTGGGGGTGTGTAAGGGAGGGGGTGTCTATTTAAATAATCCTAGCAAGGTGTACAATGTGTTATAGGCCTAAGTTGAATAAAACTTTTATTATAAAGCTGATTATATTACTGACAAATTTTGGTAATGGATTAAAGAAGAAGCTAGTCTACTAATGTACTGATATAAGCCGATGATCAAATTACAATGGTATGATAGCATAAAACAGATGTGGTACACATTTTAAACTTAGAATTTCATGCCTTACAATTTACCTACTACAACGTTTATGTAGACTATTAGAAGAAACGCTGCCAAGAAGATTGTACAGTATTACCAACAATGGTCATTTGGTGTAGGTTACAAGACATATGAACTTTCATTGTATTAAATAAATGTAATACAGTATCATAGTATAATGCAAGTACTGTAGTAAGATATATTTATATTCTTATTAAGAACATGATTGAGTTGGCCCCATGCTTCCCTCTGTTCACATTTGGTCACATTATTAACAAATTATTGTACTTTGCTCAACACCTACATGTACGATATGAAAATCACTCACACATTGATGTTAATTAAATGTTCAACCTTTTTTGATAAACAATTTAAATTTTGTTAAGTTTCTCTATAATTTCTATTTAACCATACATTTGTACATGTACTTGTAGGCTATTGTTTTGAATAAGATAAATAGGATTAAATGTATTGAGGGAATTAAGTTGTAACAGAATTTGTAGTATCGTAATTTGTAAAGGTCAGTCCAAGTTTAATGAGTAAGCCAGCACCATATTTCCAGTTCTAGTTGAAAATTTAGAACTCAATATGTGAGCAGACTTGTTGGCTCCTGTATTGATCTATGGAATATTTCATTTCACCATACATGATTTGTAAATTTTAATAATTTATGATATTGTGGATGATTTACACCATTGGTAGCTTGTTAATGACATTTTCAGACTTGGATCTCCAAATTTTATTGATTTATTTTAGGGTCTGATATGAAAATGTGTACACAGCAATGTTTTTAATTAAATTAATGATATTAATGTCTTACTGGGAAGTGGATATTGCCTAGATAAGAATGCTTTGTATTTCTGATAGTAACTTAACTGATGTTGATGGTCAAAGCTCATTTATACTTTTTTCTTTATTTGGTTTTGAACAACATGAATATGGTAAATGAAAGCTGAATAAGTGTACTTGTCGCATATAAATTGAATTTAATTTTTAATTCTAATTCTGATTTTATTCATCACAACTTGATTTTGAAGGGAGCATTTTTTTTTTCTTTTTGTTAATATTTAAAGACTCTATGCATTATTTTAACGCTATAGAATCCATTGCAAACTATGCTATTGTGAAACTTGAATCTCTTATAAGAATATCAGTCCAAAAATGGTTAAGTTCTGTTCAGTACATGTACTTAAAAAGATATAACAAATTGAAAATTCCAAAGATCTATGCTGCTCTGTATGTAACAAGACTATTTGCCATGAACCAAATTCATGGGCCTGTTATTTATATGATTGAATCCAAACCAGGAGATTATTTAGCATTGGTATTTTGATTTTGTTTCCTTAATTAAATGTTTAATAATCAATCTGAGTACATATTTAGTGAATTAGCTGTGAGAAATTTGATATTTTTTCAAAAAGTGCAAATCATGCATTGCTACTTTAAATTGCTTTGTTTAATCCATGACTACAAACTTGCCATTGTTCTAATTTTTTACCACACCTAAAAGATTAAACAAGTAGTTCACAGAAATTACATAATTCTATAAAGCTTATTACCATTTGGATTTAGTTTTTGTAATCAGTTATTATTTTACTCTTAACTGCACCAAACATTTAAGTTTGAATTGGCAATTATCTTTGAATCAATTGATAAACATTTAGGGCTTGATGTACACTCTTAAGTATTATTTTCAAATACATATATACACAGATAATCTCTTTAAAATACATGTACATGTAGCTACTTTCCTGCCAGTAAATGTATTTTTGATTCACTGGGTTGTTGAAGGTTTGTCCACATTATTATTTATTTCATTCATTGATTTGTATGAAATATCTTCTAACATCAGACAGAAACCATAGATGTGCGTATTGGACCTCATACATCTGCATGATTTAGAGACAACAGGACACAAATCAATAATAATTATTTAGACAATCCATACTGACATAGCAAAGGCAAATTACTTTTTATTAATAGCTATTAATATATTTCATCCCAAAGTCAAATAATAATTAGGATTACACAGAGAAAAAACCTCATTGAGCACGGTCTAGCTTTCAGATCTCCTGCCATATTCAAGGCTTTTGTTTTAAGTTTGATAACAGGTTCATGCACAATAATTTATATATTTGTGTGAGTTTTTTTTACTTGTATTTTCATTTTATGGCATTACAGTAAAAAAAAAGAAGTTTTATTTGATATACATGTATTCAAATGAATTGTCATCTTAAAAAATGTTGGAATAAGAAATTATTGTTGTCTGCGTGGTTGATCAGTATATGTACATTTAATGCAAAATTAAGTTTTAGGAATGTCTGATTATTATATTATTTAGTAATATTGCTTAGTCTTGTTTTGATTAAGAGTGATTCAGATTTGTGTAGCTACATGTCAAAATGAAAGTAACCTAGGCTTTGTAGCCATAATATATTGATTGGTTTCTGTCATCTATCAGCTCTTAAGACCAAGTGAATGCAAATTATGACATGCAATTTATCAGTGTAATTATGGTTAACAAACATTCAACAGCATGTAAAGTAATTTACCCAGGACGTTTGCGACGTTGAATAACAATAAGAAATTATATAGGAGAATGTCATTCAAATGTGGTAACATGAGTTAAAGGAGTTTCAGGAGACTGCAATTCCAATTTGCATTTAAATCAGATTTCTTCATGATACATGATGTTAGTGAAGAAATGTCAGTTTGGATGTAGGCCCTATTTACACAAAATCACCTTTCGCCCAAGTGTCATTCATGCAAAATTGAAACTAAAGCAGGGGATTTCTGGCATTGTATCCCCCAATCTTCTTATACAACAAAGTTTAAGCTTAACAATAAATGACATGTTACACTCGCTTTCAGACAAAGAAATTGGAACTTGGCATTGCATAAATATGTCTGTCCCTTCTTAACTACATGCACTTTAGCATATACATTTAGCTAATTAAATCACACTGTCTTTATTATTAATTCACACTTTTTTTTTTATAAATCTCTCTTTTTATACTTTCAGACTTGACAAGAACCAGATGTAATTTTCTCATGGCTAAATAAGGGTTCACCATGGATTAACCAAGTGAAAGACGATTTCGAAATTTTGACAACTTTTAAATGGCTGACCGTTGGAACTTAAAATCAAAATTTGACTAGAAATAAAAGTGTATGTGTTTTATGTTGGATATAATTAGTGGTGTACTGTAGGAACAAAAACAAACATAATGAGTAGAAGAAAGCAAGTAAAACCAATACGGGTATCTGATACAGGATCAATGGTACTGCCTCCACAAACAACTGTATTAGATTTTAGTAATGGGGGTGCAAATTTCCAAGAAGAAAATGGTGTTGATCATGAAGGGGAACCAATGGATATGCATGTTGCAATTATATCATGTGAAAAATGTCCCGAAACTTTTCCATCTGAAGATGCATTAAATGATCATGTACGGAATCAACATTATGAACCAAAGATATCTCAAGTAGACTTTCCAACAGCATATCATCGTTTGGGAAGTGAATTACAACAGGAAACTGTTTTCATACCAAATGGTCACAATAACAACAAAGATGAATTGCCTACTAAAGTAAAAGAAGTAGAAACACCACCTAAACACCAGAATGATTCACAGTCTGATGCTGGTTTAGACATGCTCTCTAAAAATGACAATAGTAGAATATTTCATCAAGATGCCTACTGTGAAATATGTGACCGTGAATTCTGTAATAAGTATTTCTTGAAAACCCACAAAGCAAATAAACATGGTGTATATGAAAATTCACCATTTTCGTATGGAAATACCTCTGGGTTTTCTAATTTGCCTGTTCCTCTTCCAATGGTACATCAGAAGGAAGCCCCTTTGCTTGCACCAAGCAAAATAGCACCTTCCCCCCCAGCTACACCCAAGGTTGAAGCAATAATTCAGTCAATGATAAAAGCAGAAACACCAAAAGCGCCACCCCCAGTTACAGTGTTAGCCTCTAGCAAACAACACACAGAAACAACAAGTTCAGCTTCCAAAAACTCTACACATCCAGATATGGAAGACTACTGTGAAATATGTCAAAAGCATTTCTGTAACAAATACTACCTCAAGAAGCATAAACAAGATGTTCATGGTATAGTGCCTGAAACTCCAGCCTCATCATCCAAACGTAATCGTTCTAACTTTGACATCCCATTTACTTCTTCAGCAACGTCCTCCCCAATAATCTTACCTCATACCATTGCAAGTATGGCTAATATGGCTGGCTTACCCACTATGCCCAATATGCCTGGTGTTATGGTATTGAACCCTTTTATGCCTCCTGTAGCTATCATCCAAGCTCAGTCATTACTTCCTCATCAGCAACTTCATCCACAGTCACTACCACAAGTTTCCCAACCATTACAGCTGTCACCAAGAACTGATTCTCAATCATCTGCTTGCAAGATGGCGTCATCATCCCATTCTACACTACTATCTTCAGCCCATGCTGAAACATCCAGAAACATTGGTATTCTTAATGCAGATGCATACTGTGAACTATGCCATAAGGAATTCTGCAATAAACTGTTTCTCAAGATACATAAAGCCAGTAAACATGGCGTCTTTACAGATGATGGGATTGAAATTCCTCCAGCTTTTCTTCACATGACGAAAGACTTACCCCTACCCAAAGAGACAAAACAAGAAGTGGATATTCCAAAAAGTCCATCTACTCAAAGTTCAAGCCAAGAAAACTATATCACATACTGTAAGCCATGCAATAAGGAGTTTTCTAATAAGTACTCCTACAAAATTCACTGCATGAATGTACACGGTATGTTGCAAGAAACTTGTAGTGATCTTTGTGGAGAACCAAATGGATCAGAAGCTATTGCCCCCAGAATGGATATCCCTGGATCAGAAGGTTTGTTGAAAGTAGCAAGTGAAGCCCAAGCTGCCAGTAATAACAGTAACAATACTAATGCTTCTACCATGTTTGGAAATATGATAGCAGCCAAATTAGCAGATCGTGTTATATGTGATATATGTAACAAAGAACTTTGCAATAAATACTTCCTGAAGGCGCATAAACTTAAAGTGCACGGCATTGACATTGGCCTAAGTGAAACTTCTGAAAAGAAATGTGAGCAATTTCAATTTATCAGTGGATTAAAACAATCTGGTAGTTTAAAACAAGATATGAATGATATGCCCATGTTCATACCAGAATTATTTGCCCAGGAATTATTAGCCAGAGCACAGAACGCGAAGAAAATTGACTTAAATGCAACTCCTCCATCTGATAAACCAACATATGAAGAGCTGATGAAGCTTGGAATTGACCCTGAAGCATATTGTGAGATATGTAAGAAAGAGTTTTGCAGTAAATATTTTCTTAGAACTCACAAGCTAAACATCCATGGTATTAAATCTGAAAAATTGGAATCTGAGAAGGACAGATCCTACCCACTTATCCCAATGATGCCAGGTCTGCCAAGCCTGCCAATGATGCCTGGATTTCCATTTGTACCAACATGTACATCATTATCGAATATGCCATTATTGACATCTAATCTACCATCTACCCCATCCAGTAGTAGTTCAAAGAACAATGTAAATGATGGCTATGAGAAACATACATGGCGCTGGAAGGAACCTGTCAATTCTTCAAGAGTAATCTGTGAAATCTGTAACAAGGAAGTTTGTAATAAATACTTCTTAAGGACACACAAGTTGAACAAACATGGTATTGTACCAAGTGATAAATCCCTTTCACCAACAGTGAGTGGTTCCCCTGCTCTTTCCGATTGTGATACAGCCAGCAACACTTCCAGCCAACCTGATCAAAATATAGCTGACAAAACCACATACCAATCAAAACCAGAAAATCTTTCAATGCCAAGAATTTCTACATCAAGTGAAAAATCACAGTCAAAGATGATGGATATCAAAAAAAAGGAAGAAGATTTACCAAGCAATAAAACCCCAGAAATATGCCATCTTTGTGATATGCACTTTCAAAATGGTAAATGGCTGAAAGCTCACATAATGAAAGATCATGCTTCTTTTCCTAGGAATGAAGCCGTTGATATGCGACTTCCTTTAAAACAAGCAACAAGTGATGAATGTAAAGCATGTGAAGTGTGTGGTGATATATTTGCCAATGAATTAACATTACAGCTTCATTTAATACAGGAACATAATGCCAAGGTGACATTAAAAACTGATGATATACAAAATGGTGATAGTGATCCTGTTTCTTCCAATTCAGAAGAGGAAGTAGAAGAAATGAGGAAATCATCTGGGACATTAAATGATCAGGTCGATTATTCTTGTGTTTTGTGTGATTACAAGACTAAATGGTTGTCTAATCTTGTAGCTCATGAAGAAAAAATGCATAACATTTTAAACAATCAATCTACAATGTTTTCTTGTAAATTGTGTCCAAAGTCATTCCCAGATGAACTTATGCTTTCATATCATGTCGATAAGTATCACACCGATGTCAATAGGTCTATCTCAGGGAGTCCAACAAGACAAGAACTAAAAAAATTCAAATGTACTATGTGCAGTGAAAGGTTTGGGTCAAGAGTTATATGTCACAAACACTTCCAAGAGGTACATGCCAAAAGTAAGACATCCAACTCCAGTGTTGCCAAGACAAAGTTGTCATGCACGAGCTGTCAATACAGCACTCGATACCCACAACTGTTGAAAAGACATATGCAACGTCTACACAGTAAATTGAATGGGAATGGTAATGTCGGTACTAATGAATTCTCAGAAAGACAGAAGTTTGAAGATGTGTATGATAATGATATGATGTGCGATGATGTTGAAGAAGAAGATGATGTTGATATGAAAATGAAGTTGTTTAAGCCAGTAAATCAGTTCCAGTCACAACTTGATGAGAAGAGAATGGTAAAACCTAGATTTTCACCTTTAACCCATTGACTGCATGTTATCCCCCACGTCTACAATTTTTACTTTAAGCTTGAGTCAGTAGACAGTTAAGGCCATGTGTATTATAATTATAGACGTACTTAATAATATAGAATCAAGAGGTCAACATATTTTGGGGAATTCTAAACTCAGATGCAAACTAATACATGTATGTAAGTACATGTAAGCTTGGTGATGCTTAGATACATGTAGCTGCTAACATGTGAAAAGTCCAGGGGAAAAACGATGTAAGTCACATTTTTGTCTTTTTCGCATAAAAGGCAAAACAGACTTTTGGACGAGAATGCTTGACACGAACAGAACGATGAGTGGGTTTAATTACAACTTCAAAATGATGTTTAATACGAATCATAATTACCAGTACAACAACTGACTTCCACTTTTGAGCCAAATTAAGGTCAAATAAATTTGATGGACTTGTATTTGTCCGGGAGGCCATTTCAGAAGGGCCTTGGTTCGATGTGACTCCTATCGTTTTTACCTGAAGTTGATTGTTCCACAAAAAACTTATACAATTTGCTACCAGATGGCGCCATTAACTGGGGTTTGTTGAAAAAGTGACTTAGATCGTTCGTCCCCGGGACTCTTCATGTATAATATGCTTTTTATATGCAGTCATCTGTTGAATAAGTGGTATATTGTGCAACTGTGATATATAATCACTTTCAAAAGTCCAAACATTTTACATTTAGCTTTGAATTATTTTGCTGTAAATGTAAAATTTTGATTGTAATGAGCAAATCAGTGGGGTGCACCAAATGATATTTAAATTGATTTTCATAAGATTCTTATCTTCAATATCAATTGGCCTTTCTATCTGTCTTAAGTGGGCTTTAAGTTCATTTTACCTCAGGAAAATAAGTGTGATTTCTAGGTCTACAAATATGAGTGCAATGTATATTAATGTTATTATTTTTACCATTACCTTAACACATTTTGTGTTGTGCATGTTTGAGTACTACTCCCACACATCTGCAAGTATTGTTTTGTAAAAAAGACATTTTATCCGAGGTTTTGTTATGTCAAATGAAAATCAAAACCTTTATTTATTAAAGGACATGGCCTCTTTGATCTGGGTTACAAAATAACAAAGTCAGTTAGATTAAATATATGTTAATTGTTTGCGCGAGATGGAAATCGTTTACTACAGTCTAAGCAACAAAAAAAACAACAGAAATAACCAGACCACCAGATTCAGCCTGAAATGAAACTCAAACAATATACAATTTGTCCCATAGTATGGGACCCATACCATATTTTGACATAAATCAAAGAGGTCTTGCTTCTTAAAGTTTGATTCCAGTATATTTTTATTTCCTTGTATTAATATCATGATGCAATGAGTATATATTTGCATTGCATGGAGGCAGCATATTTTTCCATTTGTTTATTCATTTCATATCTATTATATTTTACCACATACATGTTCATGTATGTACATTGTACCAATTCCTTACATTAAAATGAATCTCAGTATTACTTCATCTTGATCAAAATCTGAAGGAATGTTGTTTAAGTTTACATGTATAAATTGTTCAAATTTACCATATTGATTATTTCTTCATTCAATGTTGGCTTGCTTATATGAGAAACTGGACAGATTATTTCTTCACATTCTATACATTAATATTGACAAATACAACACAACAATTTGTCATATTTTGTGCTTTATTTTCAATGTCATTCATCTTAAATATATTAAAGAGGCAGTAGTTTTAGTTTTAGATACCATAGCATTTGGCATCCCATTCCCTAGATATATTTTTTATACGCCCACATTTTCATGTGGACGTTTATTGTTGTCGCCCCCGTCCATCCGTCCGTCCACAATTGTTTGTGAACAGTCTACAGGTCACAATTTTTATCCGATTTCAATGAAACTTGAAATATAGGTTTATCACCCTAAGATCTCGGTTCCTTTCGATATTGCCATGTAGCGGACCGTAACTTCATGAATTATGGCCCCTGATTGCACGAAAAATCATGTTTTTAGCTTGTGAACACTGTAGAGGTTACAATTTTTATCCGATTTGGTTTAAACCTGAAATATGTGCTTATAACCCAAAGATCTTGGTTCCTTTCGATATTCGTGCATATCGGAACGTAACTTCCTGAATTATGGCCCCAGATTGTATGAAAAATCGCGTTTTTACCTTGTGGACCCTATAGAGGTCATAATTTTTATCTGATTTAAAAAAACGTATTATTATATCACCGTTACACCCTAAGGATGATTGAGTTAGAATTTCGTGAAAATCGGCCCAAAACTGACAGACAAAATGGCCGTCGTTCGTTCTCAAATAGCGTAAAAATATGGTATATCAAGGTTGTGGACCCTATAGAGGTCACAATTTTTATCCGATTTTGTTGAAACTTGAAATGTAAGTTTATAACCTAAAGATCTCAGTTCTTTTCGATATTCGCGCATATTGGACCGTAACTTCCTGAATTATGGCCCCTGATTGTACGAAAAATCGCGTTTTTAGCTTGTGGACCCTATAGAGGTCATAATTTTTATCCGATTTAAAAAAACGTATTATTATATCACCGTTACACCCTAAAGACGACCGAGTTCAAATTTCGTGAAAATCGGCCCAAAACTGACAGACAAAATGGCCGCCATTCGTTCTCAAATAGCGTAAAAATATGGTATATCAAGGTTGTGGGCCCTATAGAGGTCACAATTTTATCCGATTTTGTTGAAACTTGAAATGTAAGTTTATAACCCAAAGATCTCGGTTCCTTTCGATACTAGCGCATATTGGAACGTAACTTCCTGAATTATGGCCCCTGATTGTACGAAAAATCGCGCTTTTTAGCTTGTGGACCCTATAGAGGTCATAATTTTTATCTGATTTAAAAAAACGTATTATTATATCACCGCTACACCCTGATTGTACGAAAAATTGCGTTTTGAGTTTGTGGACCCTATAGAGGTCATAATTTTTATCCGATTTAAAACTTGAAATGTAAGTTTGAAACTTGAAATGTAAGTTTATAACCCAAAGATCTCGGTTCCTTTCGACATTCGCCCATATCGGATTGTAACTTCCTGAATTATGGCCCCTGATTGTACGAAAAATCATGTTTTAGCTTGTGGACCCATTAGAGATCATAATTTTTATCCGATTTAAAAAACTGTATTATTATATTACCGTTCCACCCTAAGGACAGTTGAGTTTGAATTTTGTGAAAATCGCCCCAAAATTGACAGTCAAAATGGCCGCCGTTCATTCTCAATTAGCGTAAAAATATGGTATATCAAGGTTGTGGACCCTATAGAGGTCACAATTTTTATCTGATTTTGTTGAAACTTGAAATGTAAGTTTATAATCCAAAGATCTCGGTTCCGTTCGATATTCGTGCATATCGGACCGTAACTTCCTGAATTATGGCCCCTGATTGTACCAAAAATCGCTTTCTTTTTAGCTTGTTCTCTATCCATCTCTCGAAAATGTGGGCGTATCCTGCCTGGCAGCCGCTTGTTATCCGATTTAAAAAAACGTATTATTATATCACCGTTACACATTAAGGAGGGCTGCGTTCGAATTTCGTGAAAATCGGCCCAAAACTGACAGACAATATGGCTGCCCCTCGTTCTCAAATTGCGTAAAAATATGGTATATCAAGGTTGTGGACCCTATAGAGGTCACAATTTTTATCCGATTTTGTTGAAACTTGAAATGTAAGTTTATAATCCAAAGATCTCGGTTGACTGCTGGACATGATTTGAGGAAATTACACTTGGGTTATTTTTAAAACACCTACATATAAATGTGGTTGTATATTGTTGTCACCCCTGTCCTTCCAGAGGCTAATTTTATAAACAAAAGTGTATGTAGGTGCATGACGCAAAAAAGCGTATTAATTTTCAGATAGGCTTATCATTTGTTAGAACCAGTACATATTTTATATAATAAATGTTAGCACTAGGAAGAGCTAGAAGTTCATCAAATTTTAATTATTTTTGATAACTACATTTTCTTCATTTAGTTTCTTGGAAATGCTCCCATTGCCTACGGAAGAATAGATATGAGACAACCTTTGCCGACTGCTTGGGCAACTTAGCTGCTGTGGGTGTATGACTTGTTGTCTGGCAACCTATCTTTTGAATGTGAAATAAATTAAATGTACTTCTGCCTCTTTAAAAACTTCAACCTAAAGATGTAAACTCTAGTAAATAGTCTGATAATTTGGCCACATTAAGTAAAGCACAAAACTTACGGAATATATTTACAGAATTCAGTAGATGCAACCTTTCAGCAAAGGTTCTCCGTAAGAAGCTAGTTAAGACAAGAGAACAGTTGTTGGAACTTGCTACTATTAAATTCCTTAAATATTGCTCCATAAAACTTTTGTGTTTTATAAGCTAGTATCCCTCACATGGTTGTCAGCCTTCTTTAAAACCAGTAAACAAAAGACCCCTATTAAAAAAACAAGACAGGTTTTTATATACTTATTTATTTGGTTTTGTTTTCTTTTTGTAAGCGTGATTTAAAACAAAAGTTATATATTATGGGCAATAATGTGATCCTATAAAAATATGTGTGTGTTTGATGAGTGAATTTGGGATTGTTGTGGTCCTATATATATATGATTTTTACTATTAATTAACATATATTACATTCTATTTTGTGTGACAATTTGGTAGATAATGGACAGAAGAATATATTATTAATCTTCCCTGTATTTATGATATATTTTAAAGATATATTTCTATCCCCCCCCCCCTCTCCCTCCCGCCTCCTTCCCTTTTTGATTTTCCAAATGTGTTGACTTTTTCATGTATTTATCTATTTTAATGTGTCAATTTATGATGTATTTTTGATATGCACAGTTGCAGATACTTCCAGAAATTGCCAAAGTATGGTCATTGTGTTTTATTGGAAAGTTAAATAACAGAGTGTTAATAATTAAGTGTATAATGTATGTTTGTGCAGTTTTTATTGCTGACCACATCAAATACCATGCATGAAGATACTAATATATTCAATATATCCTATCATATAAAATATATTCACATTCAACATTAAGATGTAGATGATTTTACTACTAATTGGACTCTATGTAAATAATCCACATAATAGAATGGAGTAAAGATTATAACAACTACACAAAATATAAGGTGTTGATTATGGGTACTTAGAAATTATGGTATCTTTTAGTTTAATGTATGTATAGCGGTATAGTTCTGTATTATTGTACTTTGTTGTAATATCTCTTTATCTAGTCTTTCCTGGTTATAGGAACCAGTTGACCAAAGCATCCCACTTACAAATACCTCATTGCTACAGATCTATGTACAAAGATTTCTGTTTCTCCATCCTTTAATTGTATAATAAATAGTGAGAAAGAAAACAGGACAAAAATATATAACAATTATTTTGCAAAGATCTGTAGCTTTATATCCTTAAATTATATTATAAACATTTATGTAATAATTATTGATGCTCGCTATACATTTACATACATATATCTGTTTATTTGAACCATATCCTCATCATTAAGAGGTTGCTTATTATTACAAGTATAAACTAGTAATATAATCTATCCACATAGTTAATGTATTGTTATCTGTTAGAATAACATAGCTATAGCTATTGTTTTAGTGGGTCAGTGTTTAGATGCATAATAACAATACATGTATACAACTAGTACTGTACATGTACATCATATACATACATACATATACACACCCACACACTGGCAATTAGTAGGTCAGAGAATACACTTGATACATGCAGCCTTCAATAGTATACAATTTATTTTTGTTCCATTATGATATTTAGCATCGATTATATGATTAAAAGTATATTAGATTTAATTTTGTTTAACCAAAATTTTAGAACCCTTTTGTTCAACAGATTATAATCTTTTGTTATGCCTTGTTTTTGTTATATCTCACTTTTAAGTTGATGTGCCTATTTACATGTAGTATTTAATCATTTCTGACTGGAATACACTAATAAAAATTTTTAAGTTTAATATTTCTCGAATGATAATTGAGTTTTATAAAAAAAATTGTGTAGAAAATGTAAAGCTTTTTTCAAAAATATTTCCTTAATAGTAATGAATGGTAACTTTCTGCCAAAGATACTAAGCAATAATCATTATTAATAAAGAGCAAAATGTTATCCTTTTCTTCCTTTACTGTTATTGAAATGTTCATAGATGAATATATACTAATGTACATGTATAATAGATATCTGTATAAATAGAATCATTTATTAAAAAAAATTTAATGAGTGATTGTATGGTTATCAATCATAAGAGATAGTATTTGGTAAAATATTGCATGTGGATGTAGTTTATATAATGTTAATGTATATGTAAACTGTACTCGTATCAATTAGTATACATTATATTATATAATAATAAGTATACTTAGATATGAGTAGATTAAGAATGTGTATTCTAATTCCATATCTCAGGTATTTTCAATAATTTGTTCACTATGTTTTTGTTGGTTGTGTTATTTATGACTTATTTAATAATATGACAGATTTTTACCCCAGCTTTGCATTATTCCTTCAAATACCTCACTTGGTTTGTTTTTTCTCTATTTTTATTATAATTTTATTTCCATTTAGAAGAAGGCTGCATGTAAACAATTTGATATAGTGGAATTGTGTATATTTTCCTCTGTGTTTTATTATTTCCACAGAGTTTGAATTCAGGGATTCTATTTCTTATCTTGTATATCATCTTCTGTGTGGTTTATTGATTGTGAGCTGATTATAAAAGATAAACCAGATAATATATTTATTTATTTTGTGTATACATCAACCTACATTTTACTGGATGTTTGTTCCATGTTGAAACAGCATCTCTTGTCCAGGACAGGTCTTAACTAATGTCCCTTCTATGTCTGTAATAATCATTACTATTAGCAAACAATGCCAACATTTTATTTGTAAATATATAGTTATTGTTATTTATTTTACCTTTAAATTTAGTACAAAATCCAGCTTTGAATTGACTGTAAAATCATTGTAGGTCTATAATGAAAAGTAGATAAAGAAATAAAGTAGAAAACATGTATATGCATGTACACATAAATGTGGGTTTGTTTTTTAAATATGTGATTAATGGAAAAATGACCTGAAGGCACTATAACATTCGTTTGTCATCTCACATATAAAAAATGATCTTGAAGATTAAACATAAAACATTTCTACAGCATAAATTAAGATATTTTACCTTTTAAAAGACATTTCACCTTGTGATAGAGCTCTTGTGCTAAGGTGAAAGAAAAATTGTATACAAACTTGTCTAAATTGTTATGCATTATATATTAAGTACCTTTTAGGGTTATGGGCATGAATGCTCTGTTCAAAATCACTGAATTGCATTATGTTGATAAATTCAAAAGCGAGAAAGTGTTGATTCATATAAAACTACAATGGTCACTATTCCACAAAGATATTCAAAGCTGGATTTTGACAACCAATTCAACAGACAGTTTCATTTTGTTGTGTATATTTATTGAATATATTTATTGTACAAATTTCTATAACAGACCTTTTTAAGATGAGAATTTACACAGTGATATTTTTTTTATTTATTTATAAGAAAGGAAAAACCAAACTTACTAATTGTTTAATTTGGCACAATATCAGTACTTACTTGAAACCAGTTGTTCATTTCTATAGGCCCACATGGAAATGTGGACGTATATTGCCGTCGCAGCTGTCTGTCCGTCTGTCTGTCGGTCCGTTCTTGTGAATGCTCTAAAGCCAAAAGTTATCATCCGATTGTTTTAAAATTGATATATGTTGTTGACATTAGTGAGATAAAGAAGCCTATTTAATTTCAATAATTTCCATTTATTACGTCTAGAGTTTATGGCCCTTGTTTCACTTTGTTGGACCGTGTGAACACTCTAACATCTAAAGTTATAATCCGATCTTTGTGAAATTTATATGTCATTTAAATTAGTAAAAAAAAGAATCGTATTGAATTTCAGCAATTTCCCTTTATTACTTCTAGAGTTATAGCCCTTGTTTCACTTTGTTACACCTTGTGAACGCTCTAACATCAAAAGTTATCTACCGATCTGTATGTAATTTATATGCAGCATTTAAATTAGTAAAAAGAAGAATACTATTGAATTTCAGCAAGTTCCGTTTATTATTACTAGAGTTATGGCCCTTGTTTTACTTTGTGAACCTTGTGACAAAAGTTATCATCCGATCTGTATGTAATTTATATGCATTATTTAAATTAGTAAAACGAAAAAGCCTGTCAAATTATACAATTTTCTGTAAATTACTTCCAGAGTTAAGGCCTTTGTTTCAGTTTGTAGAACCTTGTGAACCCTCAAACGACAAAAATTATAATCTGATCTGTATGAAATTATCTTGTAAATGCCCCCAATTACCTACAAAAGAATAAATATGCGTTGACCCTTGCCAACCACTCGGACAATTTAGCTGCTGTGGGCGTACGTTTCGTTGCCTGGCAACCTATCTTTATTACTTGTACTAAATATTTTAAGGTCTTCTGAAATAACTACCAAACTCACTAAATTTATTTGATATTTGATCAGTACTGTTTAATGTTCAGAGCTGTTAAATGTAAAATATTGCAACATGTATGATAAAAGATATCAATTTCATTTGGTTTCCTCTCTGTTCAAATTAATAAAGCAGACAGCAGCTACAAAATTTTAGAGTTCTTTTGAAAGATTTCCTACACAATGTGCCATTAAGACTGACTGGTTTATTTCTGTTTTCTTGTTTCAAACTCCTATCTTATATCCTTGTCGATATTGATTAATTTAAATTTAGGCACTTTGTAGTCAGTCACAAGATAAACCATTGATTAGCATTGTTGAAAACAATCAACACCAATTGTTCAGCGGAAATTAAAATTTCAATAGAAGATCATTATCATTGATATGGTGATAATGCAGGTTAAGTATGCACCATTAAATTCTGGCCAAAAAAAAGTCAGAATAACAGTTCAAAAGAAATTTGACATGTTGAATTGTAAATATATTTTCTTGCTATATTAGTAGTTATTTTAGAAGACATTCCCCCAGAATTTGTAATATTTTCTTCCATTGTCATCCATGTTGATGTCTGTGAAAAAAAATTGTTGTTACTTATTTTTACCAACAGATTTTATTTTCAGTGAAATCTGTTGATGAAATGGCTTGCTTGTTTATAATATTCCCATACTTAAAAATCCTATTGACTTATCAGTATGCAAACTTAGGCAAAACAATCGGTATTTTTGTAAAGTGGAGTGAATTTTATTTGCACCTGTCCATGTAGATGGTGGTTTTGTATGCAATAAATCCCAAAATTTACATCATTGTTTGGTTATTTTATTACCCAATAGAAGGAAAGCTTACATGGGAAATTTTGTGTAATTTCATTTCTCAGATGCAAAATATTCATTTTGTTAGCTGTTTATTGATAATAAAAATATGCAATCTGGTTCTTTTCCTCAAACCAGTTTGTTGTTGGACAACTGCAGGATTGTTCTGTGATGGTATATTGTGCTGATGCATCACTGTCAAATAAACCTTTTGAAAATATAAGCCCAGTCATTCACAAAAAATCAGTCTAAATGGTTGCAATTTAGTACAGGGATCATAATTTGGAAGGAACAGTATCAAACAAAGGATAATTTAAATAATTACTAGCACACTGTGGACAAGGAACAGAATATGTCGCCATCGAAGCCATCTAGGAGTTGTGACATATCAAAAATTGAAGTCCATCAATCGATGCGAAATTGTCCACGGAACAAGCATGTACTGTTTCATTTCAAGAACAAGAGCCACAGAATGGGTACCAGTTTGGACACCAAACATTTGAGTGTATTTAATTCCATTGTAACCAAATGACCCATAACACCGAATGTTTGCCTTTTCGTTCCATTATAATGAAGAAAAAAAGGCTGACATTTGAAACCAAGAAGATTCACAGATGGAATTTAAAGAAGGGTAGGTGTAAAAACGATTCTCTGAAAAATCTCACTCCTCACCTTGGGCACTAAACAAATGAAAGTAATAGTATGTCGCTTTACCTAATAATAACTTATTTCTATTGTTTTAGAAGGAAATCTGGTTTTATTATTTATTTTAGTTATAATTTATGTTCCTGGTTGCAGCTAATGATAAATTCTATTATCACCCAATAATACATTCTACAGTAGATATCGCTTGAAAAGGAACTACTTTTTTTTATTTTCAAAGAACAGTTCATTTCTTATTAAAAATTAAATTAAAATTTAAATTAAAAATGAACTATTGTTATTCAATTGACCTTGATGGAAACACTACAGCAAAGAATTATATTTATCTATTTGTGCATTCATTACCCATGAATTTTAATAATAGCTGGTCTTGTCAAAGTATCCATTTTTAAACACCCATATGGAATATGGACGTATGTTGCCGTGGACCCCGTCCTTCCGCCGTCCACAATTTCTTGTGAACGCTCTAATGCCAAAAGCTATTATCTGGTTGTTTTAAAATTGATGTGTTGTATACAGCATTCCCCTTGTTTTACTTTGTGAACGTTGTGAATGTTCGAATGACAAAAGTCATCCTATCTGTATGAAATTTATATGTATTATTTAAATTAGTAAAGCGATAAAGCCTGTCAAATTTCAAAATTTTCTGTAAATTACTTCCAGAGTTAAGGCCATTGTTTCAGTTTGTAGAACCTCGTGACCCCTCAAACGACAAAAATTATAATCTGATCTGTATGAAATTGTCTTGTAAATGCCCCAGTTACCTACAAAAGACAACCCTTGTCGACCATTCAGACGATTTAGATGCTGTGGGCGTATGTTTCGTTGCCTGGCAGCCTATCTTGATACATTCATTACCACTGACAAAAGACAACCCCTGTCGACCATTCAGACGATTTAGATGCTGTGGGCGTATGTTTCGTTACCTGGCAGCCTATCTTGATACATTCATTACCACTGGCAAAATGCAAACTATTTGGAAGTTTAATATTTTTGGACAATTAATCACAGAAAATAATTGATCATCTATTACTTTTAAATATTGTGTGTTGAAACTTAATAAAACTACTGATACCCCCAGTATATGTATGACATAGTTTTATAACAATGGATAGCCTGAATTCTGGTATAAAAAGTTTCCTTATCAACTTGATTTATGGTCCCGTGTTTTATTGCATTAGATCAATTAAGTTGAACTGAACTTTCAGCCTAGTTATAAATAAAATATCATGCTTTTAGATATTCCCGAAGATGATTGCAGCTTATGTAAATATGATTGATATTTAGAATACAAGCTAAGAGATAAAGAAATGGTTTAATTCTGATATTTTGAAAGAAAACTTGACATTAATGGTTGTAGGAAAATTAATTGTTACACTTAAAAGAACCTGATGACCATACCACAAACAATGAAAGTTAATCTGCCTGTCAGGCTTTTCTTCTTTGTTTTTCGTTTATACTACTTGCAATTGCCTGCATCTGTACAAGGATGGGATTTTCAAATTTGAACATGTGCACAAATGCTGAAGGCATGTTTCACCTTGTAAAAGACCAAATCTTTGGGACTATGACATTTATAGCTGTCTAGTCGTTCGGAGGGGACGAAAAACGGAGGTCCCGTTTACACATTCGCGTGCACGTAAAAGATCCCTTGGAAGTTGGAATTCGATATAAGAGTAGACCGTAGCGCCGCTGCCCGGGCAAAATTTCCCTCATAGCAGACTTTGTGACGCATGCCCGTCTTCATTAGCCCAGTTTAAGAGCAAAACAGTAGGACGTTAAATCCCATTTCATTTCATTTCCTTTATTTTAAAAAAATGTGTGACTGATGAAAACAAAGTTTTAATTTTCCAAGCAATTTTTAAAAAAAAGAAAGACAAAAACAATTTTTATGTACATCTACTTGAGACAAATTTGCAGCCTTGATAACCAAATTCCAGCAGAGAGAAAGATGTTGCCACCGTAATAGTTGTGCAACACCATTTTTATAAAACTATAATGGATCTGACATGAAGTATTTTATAGTTATTCTACAGGTTTTTGTTAGGTAGACATAAATGTCAAAATAGGGTGAAACATGTCATTTACAACATATGTGGACACTGATTGATGGCCTATTTTGCCTCTGCTTGTGGAAAAAAATTTTTTTAAAACAAACAAGGTAATTTCGTTTGAAATAAAATGACCACGTGACAACAGGACATTTATTTACTATACCAGTAGATATTATTCTTATGTTCAGCAGTTTACAAACGCATATCTCGTAAATTATGACATTTCGCATATTCACATGCCAATCCTATTTTTTGTGAACAACCCCCACCCATAATTAGTTTAGTGTATCAGTTCAATAAACAAATATTTTGTAAGGAAGATTTTAAAAGTATCAGCTGGTTATGTTCTCAATTTTTATCAGTAGCCTTTACCACATTATATTTGGGTATATTTCAGATAAAATGTAATTCAATATTGGTTAGAGCTTTTCTATATTTTAATTCAAACATTTCGTTTCTCCAATATCCACGATCACGCCCATTTCTCTGGTCAGTGTGGGGACAGGCAGTGACCCTTTCAGTTAAGGTCATGACCCCATTGGCCTGAGAAAAGGTCATTCTATGCCTTCGGCGATATAACTGAAGTGAAGTAAATTAAATTTGTGAGGTCACGCAGTAGAGGTTATCAACAAGGGGTAAAGCTTAAAGTGGTCACCCGACAGGTTATTTCAAATTAAAGAAAAAAACACTTAAAGTTTAGAACAAAAAATATTAGCACAACCGTAAAGCTGCACTACTTTGTTTCACGGAAAACGATAAAAAAAATAAAAGGTGTTCGTGCCGACACAAACTGATTTCAACACTGGTTGATATGTGAAGTTTTAGAAAGAAAAACCTAATTCCATTTTATCTACCGCTTTCACCCATGCACTACGGGGATCACCAGGGCGCCATCCACAATCCCAACCCAAAATAAATATCAACAAAATACATAATAAAATGCATAAAATAACACTGAGCTCCTAGATAAAACAAAGATCGCATTGCCCATATAGTTGTTGGCCGATCGTATAAACTTATATTAGTAATGCTATCTGGTATTGAGAAGTGACGTTTTGCTTCGTGAAAATATAATAATTGATTATATAATTTGTTAAATGTAAAAGCATTAATTGTTTGTCGACGTTCGTATTGTAGCATTTGTTCCTATTCCAACCTTTCCTATGTCCACCGGCTAACTTTATCAAAACAAACTTCAGCATTTCATCTCGTAAAAAGGAAACGTTCCACATTGTAAAGTTGAGATCACCTTTAAATTTCATGAACTTTATCTACGAGCCATGTGTTATTGAAGAAAGAGAGATAGGAGATCTAAACATTAACTACAACAATCGCTGCTTCCTTTTGTTATCATACGGTTTAAGTTTTCGGTTTCTATAGTAACGTGTTCTACGTGATGTTTTCAGATTCCTCTGGATAAGTCTCAAATTAAAGTAAAAAAAAATACGCCTTGGGAATTTAAAAACTGGTCAGTAAAGATATGCGCTTAACCCTCAAGCTAAAAATAGTTAGTCCGAAATTCCACCTACTTGAAGGGGTTAACATGTCAAAAAGCTCTTTGTATCGTTTACACTTTTTCTCGTGGTTAAATTTCATTGGATATTCTATAATATGTGGAATTTTAAGGGTTACTGTCCAGCAAGAACAATGGTCTTTTAACAATTCATTGTTTTCATCCTCAACAGTATTCTTTAAGATGTGCAGCTGGTCACTTCAAAGCCAGTTAACATAACTCACATGACGACCAACACTTAAAGAAATTTACAAAAGAGCTTACTGTTTTTACGTATACCCTATACAGCCAATAAAGTTGAAATGTATTCCCATGGCCTCAAGCTATTTTGGGAAAATTAAATCGAATATGTTTTAATCATTTCAGAAAGGTTTGATTGACAGAGGGAGAACAATTTTCACTATATTCATTTTACTGATAAAACATACCTCTCTGTACAGACTATTTAGCAAAGCTATTTTAATAATAAAATAAAAGATATCAAAGAATATATGTAGAATATAGATCCAATAAATAATTACATATTATCTGATTTGTTTGAAAATTCAGTGGTGCATAGATGAAAAAAAAAAGAATCAATATTTAATGAAGGTATTATCATTTAACTGCAATTATCTTTCATACTATCAATAAACTCTATTTCATGACGGAGAAACCAATAAAATCATATGTATTTAAAGTATATTGGAACAGATTTTAGATTGATAAACTGATAAAAGGTGATCGATTGAATTAATCGCCCGTTAGGAAAAAAGGACA